GACAAGAACTGCATTAAATAACCCAGCTAAGGCACGGGCTGAGGAGGGTCAGCAAATGGTTGTTGGTATCTTCTGTGCATTTGGGAGATGCTGGAAAATCCTTGGCAACTTCAGGAAAAAAAGTACTTTTACGGCTTTTCTTGTGCTGATAATGTTTTCTACAAAAGAGATTCTGGGCATAGTATGTCTGTTATTGCTCTAGGCACAGTAGGTCTGTTAAAATTACTGTTACAGTTACTTAAAGAATTTTGTTGATTATTTGGTTGCCTACCTTGATGTTTTTCAAAGGCAGTGTCTTATTGAGTAACTAAATATTTTTCTTAACAGACCTTATCTGGCATACTTTCAAATATCTGTGACTACAACATTTAATAAGAGTTTTTCAGAGATACTAGAAAAATAAATTTTGGTTGATCCACTCAATATGTGACTCTTTGAAGTCACGTTACCTACACAAATCAAGATAGTGTGGTGCTAGCATGAGGATGGGCATATACATCAATGGAATAAAATGGGGAGTCTGGAAATAAACCCTCACATGTATGGTCGTTGATTTTTGACAAAAGGGCCAAGACAATTCAATGGTGGAAAGAATAGTTTTTTCAACAAATAGTGCTGGGGTAACTGGATATCCACATGCAGAAGAATGAATTTGGACCCTTACCTTACACTGAATGTGAAAATAAACTCAAAGTGATCACAGACCTAAATCTGTAACTTAGGAGAAACACAGGAGTAAATCACAATCTTGGGTTAGACTATGACTTATTAAATATGACACCAAAAACATAGCAATAAGAGAGAAAATTGGTAAGTCCAATTTCATCAAAATAAAAAACTTCATAATTATCTAGTGTAAGATATTTTGTCGTAACAGTCTTGGACTAAGACAGAACTTATATCCAGAATATGCCGTATAAAGACCTCTTAGAATGCAACATCAAAGAGACAAATAATACGATTAAGAAATGGACCGGAGATTTAAGCAGACATTGCTCCAGAGAAAGTATACAAATGGCCAGTTAGCACGCGAAAAGATGCTCAACATCACTGGTCATTTGGGAAATGCAAATTAAACCACAATGAGACAACACTTCACACCCATTAGGATGGTTATAACTAAAAAGAAAAACGGCCAGTTGCAGTGGCTCACACCTGTAATCCCAGCACTTTGGGAGGTAGGTGGATCACCTGAGGTCAGGAGTTTGAGACCAGCCTGGCCAACATGGTGAAACGCCATCTCTACTAAAAATACAAAAATTAGCCGGGCATGGTGGTGGGTGCCTGTAATCCCAGCTACTCAGGAGGCTGAAGCAGGAGAATCGCTTGAACCCAGGAGGTGGAGGTTGCATTGAGCCAAGACCATACCACTGGACTCTAGCCTGGCGGCAGAGTGAGATTGCATCTCAAATTTAAAAAAAAAGAAAAGAAAAGAAAAACAGTGACAGGTGTTGGGAAGGATGCGGAGAAATGAGAACCCTCAGATGCGGCTGGTGGTAATGTAAAATGGCACAGCCACTTTGGAAATTCATCATTTGAGGAAAGGCATTTCCTCCGAAGGTTAAACATAAAGTTAACTTATGACCAATCATCCCAACCCTAGGTATCTACCCAACAGAAATGAAAACAACTGTCCACAAAAGACTTCCATGCAAATTTCTTAGTCTGAAAGTGGAAACAACTCTTGTCAGCTGATTCGTAGATGAAACTTTATTTGGCAATAAGAAGAAATGTAGTTCTGATCCATACTATAACATGGATAAATCTTTAAAACATTATGCTAAAGTCCAGTCACACACAAAAAAAACCACGGATATTGTATGATTTCATTTGTAGAAATGTCCAGAAGAGGCAGATTTGTAGCATGGAAAGTAGATTAATGGTTGCCTAAGACTGAGGAAAGGGTAATGGAGTGGGCGCCAGTGGGTATGGGATTTCTTTTGGAAGGGATAAAAATACTCTAAAATTAGATTATGGTGATGGTTGCACAACTCTATAGTAAAAGCCATTGAATTGTACACTTTATTATGTTATGTAAATGAGATTTCAGAAAGCCTGTTTTTTGAAAAGGTGAGTTAGGTAACAAATGCATGTGGTGCTGAAGCTGTTCCTTTTAGAGCCGGCTCTTAGCATTCTATGTCCTGAGCATTGTACTGTGAGCTAAGAGACAGAACATGATTTCTGCTTCCCCCACACCTAAGAAAAGGTTTAGGAGATCAGAAGATGTAAAACAGAAACCCAGAATGCTCTTCTAAGAGTTAGCTACAGAGTAAATAAAAGTTTGAAGAGACTTCCTCAGGTAGGGGAGAACAGAAGTTTCATAGACAAGATGGTAATGGTAAGCTCACTGCTTCTCCATTTTTTATCTTTAAAAACTGGCCACCCAACTCATAGAGGGCAGAGGACTGTATCTTAAATAACACAGGGCCTACCAGCTTCAGGGTAAAATCAATGAAATCTTTAAACTGAGGCTAGGTGTGGTGGCTCACGCCTGTAATCCCAGCACTTTGGGAGGTTGAGGCAGGTGGATTACCTGAGCCCAGAAGTTAGAGACCAGCCTGGACAACATGGCAAAACCCTGTCTGTACAAAAAGTACAAAAATTAGCCAGGCATGGTGGCGCACACCTATAGCCCCAGCTACTCAGGAGGATGAGGTGGGAGGATGGCTTGAGCCTGGGAGGTAGAGGCCGCAGTGAGCCGTGATGGCGCCACTGCACTCCAGCCTGGGTGACTGAGTGAGACCCTGTCTCAAAAAAAAAAAAGTTACGTAACTATGAGTATGTTCCGTAAATTAATTCTTTGAATGTTATATATGCTACGAATATTTCACTTAGCCTTTGGCTTATGTTTTTTGTTGTTATTGTGACATTGTCATGTAAAAGTTTGTAATTTTTTTACATAGTAAAACTTATTAACTGTACTAGCTTTAGATCAGAGTTCCCCAGCTCCCATACCAGTGACGGTCCGTGGCCTCTTAGGAGCCGAGCCGCGCAGCAGGAGGTGAGCTGCGGGCGAGGGAACATTAGTGCCGGGGCTCCATCAGTGGCATTAGATTCTCACAGGAGCACAAACCCTGTTGTGAACTGCGCACTTGAGGGATCTAGGTTGCGTGCTGCTTATGAGAATCTAATGCCTGATGATCTGAGGTGGAACAGTTTCATCCCAAAACCTTCCCTGCCACTACCCCACCATCTGTGGAAAGATTGCCTTCCATGAGACTGGCCCCTGGTGCAAAAAAGGTTGGGGACTGCTGTTTTAGATGACATTTCCTACCCTAGTTATAAAACACGTGTTCCTATAAATTCTTCTTCTTTCCTTTTTTACATTTAGGTGTTTATAACCCTAGTCCAGGGCTTCTCAACCTCAGCACAGGGGCATCTTGGATGGGTAACTCTCTGTTGGGGGCCGTCCTGTGCACTGTATGATGCTTACTGCATCCCTGGCCTCTACCCACAAGATGCCAGTAGCACCTGCACCCCAGATGTGACAGCTAAAAATGTCTCCAGACATCGCCAAATGCCCTAGGGAGGGGGATCACCACTGCACCTGGGTTAGACCCCCTTTTTTTTTTTAAGAGACGGAGTCTCGCTCTGTCGCCCAGGCTAGAGTGCAGTGGCACAATCTCTGCTTACCACAACCCCTGCCTCCCAGGTTCAAGCAATTCTCTCACTTCAGCCTCCCAAGTAGCTGGCACTACAGGCATGCACACCACACCCAGCACCACTACACACAGTTTTTGTATTTTTAGTAGAGACAGGGTTTCACCCTATTGATCAGGCTGGTCTCAAACGATGATCCACCCACCTTGGCCTCCCTAAGTGCTGGGATTACAGGCATAAGGCACCACGCCTAGTCTTAGACCCCCTCATTTTTGCAGCTGAGGAAACTGAGGTCCAGAGAGGTGGTGTGGCCTGAGCAAGTTGGCCTAGACAGATGGTGGCAGAAATCTCAATTCAGAATGCACGACTGGGAACCTCCACTCCTGGTTCTCGTTTTTTCCCGTTTTTCCTGTCCCCAGCCCTGGGTACCTCTGCTGTGCCAGGCACTGGGTAGCTGCTGGGGCCACAGCAGGGAAGAAGACCACATAGACAAAGTGATGAAGATGAGACTTCAGGTCGTGATTAGTGCCATGGAGCAAACAGAAAGAGTGCTGGGATCCCACCAGTGACGGCATGGTCACAGGGAGCCTCTGCCGAGGTGGCTCGCTCACTGACAGTTCTGTGAGTGTGGGCATGCCTTTGAGTGTGTGCGGTGTGCGTTTCTACCACCATGATGCTGTCAGGGTGGCCTGGGCCCTGCTCGCAGTCTTGTTCTGCCGGAGTGTGTTGAGGACCCCCAAGGCTGCCGTCATGCCTGGGGGTTTTCTAGAAAGACTCGAGACTTAGCATATGTTGTACTCAGCTAAGATGCACTGCAGCAGTGTGGTGTGGATACGGAGCTGGGCGTTAAGGGAAAGGCGCAGGTAGCAGAGTCTGGAAGGATCCACGTGGGGCTTCCTTATGCACACTCCCTCCCTCAAGGGGTTGCGCGAAGTGAATACTTCCCCCCCGCAACGAAACTGCAACACGTGTGATGTTTTTGCCCAGGGAAGCAAATGAGAGACTCAGTACCCAGTGTTCTGGCTGAGAGCCGGCTTTATACCCTTGGCCTAGCATGTTCCAGAATTCCACACTCACATAAGGAGGGCAGTGTCAGCAGAGACCGCATTGTTCACAGAAACGGTCTGGGCACGTGAGCCAAGCTACTCTTGTCAGTTAAAAAACAGTGGGAACCCTCCCAAAATCCAAGTTCCCAGACACCAGCCTTGCAAGTGATAGCACTCTTAACCTGCTGCGCTCACCCTTTGCTGTGTGCAGGAACTTTCCAAACCAAGGTTTTGACCAGAAAGCCAGTAATAGGAGCCTGGGGGCCACTGCTTGGGGCTGAGAGTAGGGGACTGAAACATGACCTCCCCACTGAGTGGTGATGGAATCTGCCCTCTCTTGTTTGCCCTCTCCAGTGTGGGGCTGCCTTCCAGGAGGATGATGTCATCGTGCTCAATGGCACCAAGGAGGATGTGGATGTGCTGAAGGCCAGGATGGAGGAGAGAAGGCTGAGAGCGAAGCTGGAAAAGGTAATGGGAGTCTTCAGGTTCCGCCCAGCACCCATCTCTGCTCCAGAGCCAACTGCAAACCACTGAACTGAGCTGGCAGCTACTTAGGGGTTTGCATGATCAAGGCAGTTTTTACAACCTAGAAGGGCCTGGACTGTAGAAGCAGATTCCAGCTGTGGCTCAGGCACTGCCTGGCTGTGGTGGGCACAGCAGCTCTGCTCTTCTGCGCCCAGTTTCCTCATCAGTGAGGTGGGGTAGTGATAGCATGTGAGGGCATGGAGCTGTCAGCAAGCTCCAGAGACCATGGCCGTAAAGCACTGACAGTGACACGGCCCCAGCAAGCCCTTGGGGAAAGGCAGCTACACCATTGCCGCTGCTGTCACTTACCGTTGCTGTTGATTTATACTCGGGTCTCATAGCTTGTAAAACAAAGGAAAAATGAAAAGTCACCATCATTCCAGCAAATGTAAGGCTCCCCTGCTGCCCAGATTGGAATGTGCTTGGGAGTGCCCTGGCAGTCTGGGCTCCAGTAGGCCTGGGTGGGCCTGGGCGCCTGTGCATCTCACGCACTCCCAGGGCATGTGGATGCAACTCCTCAGGGTCGCACTTTGAATAGCAAGGAGCTAATGAGTAGCCTTCCCAAAAATGGGGGCCAAATCCTTCACCTTCCTGAGCCCTCTCACAGGGAGAGGGAGGGTCTTTAATGGAGCGTGGTGCTTCAGCGTCCGGGAGGGAGCCTGGCACCCAGAAACAGGGAAGCCATTGCTGAGTAACGTGGCAGAGCGAGCAGGCCCCAGACAGTGCATCCGCCAGGAGCTCTTCCGTGCGCTGGCGATTCCCCCTCTAGCAGTACGTGTTCATGTTTACAGATGATAGCTGTGGAATACATGCCTTTGGTGAGTGGCAAGTTTCTTATTCTTTAAAAAAAAAAAAAAAGTTAGGTTCAGGATAAGCTAGGGAGAAAACTTTATGTGATCAGAACTAAGGCAAAAGAATGCTTGAAGTACTAGAAAATGAGCTCCAGTAGGCTGAGGACATAAAATTATGAAACAAATCGCCTGCCCTCACGTGGGCATGCGTTTTACCAGTGCCAGTCTCAGGCGAGAATGATGGAGTACTTGAAGATTTTTCAGAGGTTTGGGGTTTTTAAAAAATCGTAACAGGCCGGGTGCGGTGGCTCCCGCCTATAATCCCAGCACTTTGGAAGGCCGAGGTGGGTGGATCACGAGGTCAGGAGATCTAGACTATCTTGGCTAACACGGTGAAGCCCCCGTCTCTACTAAAAAATACAAAAAATTAGCCAGGCGTGGTGGCGTGCACATGTAGTCTCAGCTACTTGGGAGGCTGAGGCAGGAGAATGGTGTGAACCCGGGAGGCGGAGCGCAGTGAGCCGAGATGGCGCCACTGCACTCCAGCCTGGGCGACAGAGCGAGATTCCATCTCAAAAAAAAAAAAAAAAAAACCGTAACAGATAAGACAGGACCGTATCACCCTGGAATAATGTGTAATTCATGGTTGCAAGGCTTAAAGAAGCCGAGGCTTGAGCACATGGTAGCAGTATTATCATTACGCATGGATCCAGAGTGATCAGAAAGAGCCAAAAGCATTTGTATTTTCTCCTTTCATCATCTGACTTTACGTAGAAAATAATGTCTGAAAATGGCTCTGTAGTTTAAGGAATTGTGCCCAAATTTTGAATTCAGATGCCAGTAGAAATACTCCATGGAACAATATTATAAGATGTTAATACAACATTCATAAGAACTATTTAAAGAGCCACTTGGTAGGCAGGTGTGGTGGCGTGTGCCTGTAATCCCAGTTACTGGGGAGACTGAGGCAGAGGAATCACTTGAACCGTGAAGGCGGAGGTTGCAGTGAGCTGAGATCGCACTTCTGCACTCCAGCCTGACAGACTCTCTCAGGAAAAAAAAAAAAAAAAGGCCACTTGGCCGTTTAAATGCTGTGTTAAGGTTGAAAAGTAAATACATGTATATCTTATATAAAATGTGTTAATTCTAAGTTGGTTTTCTAAATTACTATGATTTCATTATTGTAAGAGGGAAAAAAAGAGGGAAACTAAGTTTGAGGAGTTTTTAACTAAGGACAGTTGCCAAAAGCCATCTCCCTGTTCTTCATTGCTACCATTGATCAAGCTCAGTTTTGAAAAGCACAAAAGGGCGGCTGGGTGCCGTGGCTCACACCAGTCTTCCCAGCACTTTGGGAGGCCGAGGCAAGCAGATCACTTGAGGTCAGGAGTTCGAGACCAGCCTGGCCAACATGGTGAAACCCCATCTCTGCTAAAAATACAAAAAATAGCTGGATGTGGTGGGGCGCGCCAGTAATCCCATCTACTCTGGAGGCTGCGGCAGGAGAATTGTTTGAACCTGGGAGGCGGAGGTTGCAGTGAGCCAAGATCGCAACACTGCACTCCAGCCTGGGCAACAGAGTGAGATTCTGTCTCAAACACACACACACACACACACACACACACCCCCACCCACACGCACGCACACACAACGGGGAAAAAATGCATTTTAAAGGAAGCTACTAAAAATATTCATGTTCCCTTTGACCGTTTTGCTTTCGTGAGTTTTCTGTCACAGGTTTCCTGCCAAGTTAATTGAAAGAACAGTGGGACTAACATGCCCTTCTCTGCAAAATATTCTCCAGAGCTTCCGGGAATACCTCACAGCTACTGCTGCCAGGATACCACAATATTTCCCAAATACACTTGCAGCTGGAAGCAAGATACAACATTTCCTGTCTAACTCCTTCTTGCCTGTGCTTTTCAAATAACCTCAGCCATGAATGGAGGGCTTAGAAATAAACAGTGGTCTCTTACTTGTTTGAAGGCCCGAATATCAGTTTTCACAGATGTGAGTGCTCGCATTGTAGGTGTGAGATGCGCAGAAGGTCTTTATGTTTTGTTATAAATCACATTGCATGTATGTGTTACAAATTCAAGGCCTGAGAGGTCTGTCTTTAATGCTCGGTGCTGGGGGATGGCTGAAGTAATCAGGCTGCTTATCTTTAGTGCCACCTTTTGGATGCTTAGGAAATTGCATTTTAAAGTAAATTGAATGACCATAGTCCTACGTGTCATTTCTACAATTAAATCAGTTCCAACACAGCTGTGTAACTGTAGAATGGTTTATTTTATTATTGCTGATCAAAATAACTATTATGAGTAACAGCATTCTAGTGTCTGGAAATCTAACAGGAGTAGTTTTCAGTTTAGAAGAATTAGCTCAACTGTCTTTAATGTAAACTTCAAGGCCTTATACTTGAAAAACAAATACCAAAGCAGTTTGACAACTTTGAAAAAAAGTTAGTGGAATGTGCAAGATTTAGTTCGTGTTTATGCTGGCTGGACTTCACATACCCATATATACTCTGTTATTCATTTAAGTGTGCTTTTGTATACAATTGTCACCATCAACCTTGGCCCTTATTACTGAAATCTGTCAGCCTCATTTGAAATTTTTGCAAATGTGATTTGGGAGATGTAAATATAAAAGTGAGCAGCTCTGTGCAGATACATTTTTGTGTGAGGCAGAAGTACACGACTGGAGTCACATGCAGAGGATGAACACTCAGGAGTTACGGAACCTCAAAAGCCTTCTTCAGGTGACTGTCTGTCTCATGTGACTGGCATCGGCCTGTCAGACAGGGCCCCCGGGACAATGGGCAGCCATACTGACGATGAAGTGGAGTGAATCTGAGCACGTCCTCCAACATTCTTTCTTTTTATAGAAAACAAAGAAACCCAAGGCAGCAGAGTCTGTTTCAAAACCAGATGTCAGTGAAGGTAAGATCCTTCAAGCGATCCTTGTTTTAGCAAAATACGACTCTAAGGCAGTCTGCTAATATGTTCATGCTTTGTTTTGCATTGTTTTTGCTTTGCCTACTTTGTTTCTTTTACAGAAGCCCCAGGGCCATCAAAAGTTAAGACAGGGAAGCCTGAAGAAACCAGCCTTGATTCTAGAGAGAAAAAAAACAACTTGGCTCCCAAAAGCACAGGTGGGTCCTGTTGTAGCTACAGGGAGCTGTTTCGAGAAGGCTGGAAACCCAGGTGGCTGAGTCCAGGTTTCATGGGAGTGGGCGGATGGGAAATCCAAGCCTGTCCTGTGTCATGTCTCCAGAGAGCGCACTGAACTCTCTTTAGGGGGGTAACTAAGAAATATTGAACACACCCTCATCAGGAGCCCTGGCAGGATTGATGGGGTCTGGGCACAAATGCTAGTTGTTTAGATTCCTTCGAGTAAGCAAGTGCCTGGTGCCAAGCAAAAAAGGCTGTGCTGAGAACTGGCTCAGATGTTACAAAGACTTCAGAGGGACTGTGGCTCAGGGCCTGCGGGGAATGCTCCCACTTTTCTTTACCCCTGGGGCTTTCGTGGGCTCCACATGTGGCTCTCAGAGGCCCCTCTCTGCTGCCTCTTGACCAAGGATCAAAGTTTCTCCTAAAACTCACTCTCTTTAACTCAAAGAAAATAGCATTTATTTCACAAAAAGAAAAATACAGATTGATTGTTAAGAATGTGTGATCTTGTGCTCTAAGTAGCATCCAGGGAGGCTGACAGGCTCCTATCCCAGCTCTACATGGGATGGCCACTCAGGTTCCTGTGCCCGTTTCCTCCCCTGGAACGCAGGCCCTGCCTCATTGGGACAACCTAAGTCATTCGTGGGGCTGGGACCAGTGTCTGCGACAGAGCAAGTAGTTGGTGGAACAGTAAATGATAGATGTGTCATGCTGTGTCTGCTTTGCTGGAGCTGGCAATTAAGATGATGTCCATCAGCACTCACACAGCCAGCAAGAGAACGTCTGGGACAGAGTGACTGACACGCTTCCCTTCTGAGGATGCGAAGTTTAGAGTCATCCTTATCCCAACCCTGACAGTTTTGACTCTGACTCTTCATTTTTCTAGCAACAAATGAGAGCTCTTCTGGAAAAGCTGGGAAGCCTCTGTGTGGAGCCACAAAGAGGTCCATCGCTGACAGTGAAGAATCCGAGGCCTACAAGTCCCTCTTTACCACTCACAGCTCCGCCAAGCGTTCCAAGGAGGAGTCCGCCCACTGGGTCACCCACACGTCCTACTGCTTCTGAAGCCCACAATGCCACCACTCCTGCCCCCGAAGGTTGTTCAGTTTCCACGTAGGCAGGTCGCTGTGCACCTCTGAGTGCACTGCTGTGTGTCCTCTCTAGCTCTGTCATAAAGCTGTCCTGGCCAGCCTTCGAGATGGTGTGGTCACTCTTGCTGTGAGGCGTGTGGGTTCCAGGGGGGACATGGGAGGGGCTGCACTGTGGCCCGAGGTCACGCTTGCTTCCACCTGCAGGTGCATTTGGTCCTTTCCACGGCCAGGTAGCCCTGTGGGCTGCACTTTTTATGCGTGCAGTAACAAGAGACTCCAGAGTCCTCGCTGGTGCAGAGTTGGCACGTATTAACTACAATTCTAATGATTTTGCTACCAGCAGTAAATTAAGTAGGCCAAGTGAAACTGGGCTTTAGAAAGGATGGATTTCAAATACACTGTGCCCACTAGAAGCTTTGAAGAGCCTCGTCCCTCTGCTACAGCCCTGGGAGGAGCCAGGATCCTTGTTGGTCTAACTAAACACTATTAGGGGAGTCTGCCCTATCTCATCATTTTGAAGATAGCAGAGTCTTAGTTGGGCACCCAGTGATTGGGTTCAAAAATAAAGCTGGTCTGCCTCTTCTCTCCTCTGTGTTTTTATCTTTTCTACCTTCTGCTCATGCTTGGGTAAGAACGTTGCAGCCACTGCATTGGTGATTATGGAAGTCATTCCATGAAGTCAGAGGAACCCACCCTTCTCTCCTCCAGCAGATGGTAAAGGGAGAATTGTCCCCAAAAAGAGGTGCATTTTATCTGCCTATAATGTGTGTTGACGTCAGTAGTTAGTGGAACTTCTCATGAGACTCCTAATGAAGAACCAAGAGTCCCAGGCCTCTGCGTGGCTTTCTGCACACGGTGGTACAACTGAGATAGTGACTGGTTCTCTAAACCAGACCCCGGGGCCCTGGGTTTCCTTCAGAAGCAGGAGAAGGACCTGTGGGAGGTGAATGGTGGGAGGTGAGCAGGCAGCTTCTGTGGGAGACAGACACGTCGGGAGAACTCCAGGGGGAGGTCAGCAAGGGAGAACCATGTGTGGCCCTGCTTTTTCTCAAACCCTGTGTGCTTCCTGGCTTCACAGTGATGGGAAAGTTTGGCCCCAAGGATATTTTCACATTGTGAGTATAGAGCATTTTAATAAAAATTACATTTAAGTGATGAATTTTTGTCATGGACTTTTCCAGAACAAACCTGAATTAGCCATTTAATTTCCCCAATTTTCTATACAGCCAAATTCAACCATTTTCTTATTGCTTTTATTTCCCTTTTTCTTTTTTTTTCTTTTTTTTTTTTATTTTGAAACAGGGTCTCACTCTGTCATCCAGGCTGCAGTGCAGTGGCACGATCATGGCTCACCATAGCCTTGACCTCCTGGACTCAGGTGATCCACCCACCTCAGCTTCCCGAGTAGCTGGGATTATAAGTGCACACTACCGCACCCGGCTAATTTTTCTATTTTTTGTAGAGATGGGGTTTCGCCATGTTGCCCAGGCTGGTCTTAAACTCCTGGGCTCAAGCACTCTGCCCACCTCGGCCTTCCAAAGTGCTAGGATTACAGGTGTGAGCTACCCCGCCTGTTGTGTTATTTTCACAACAATCAGTTCCTTCTTCAATTGGATAACACTATTTTCTATCACTATCTCTTCTTCCCTATTTTAATTTTACTGAGAAAACTTAATCCTTTTAGTCACATTTTACTAATTATAGCTTCTGCCATCGTGAGGCATTTTTTTCTTTTAATGACCATTATTTTTTACCAGGTTCAGTTTTCTTAATGTTAGCCTGAATCAGTTTTATTTTGCATTGAGTTTATTGACTGTGTCCAGTTTTTTCTGGTAACTGAGTCACAGCATCCTCAACACGAAAACTTCAGCATCTCAAAGTCCTCTGCTTTGGGCCTCTCTGAAATAAACAGGCTGTGGGCTTCCCTCCAGCTGCCCTCAGGACTATCCACGCAGGAGGGATCAGGGCTTCCTTGGAGATTTCTAGCCAGCCTTTAATATTTTGCTAAGGCACCACTCTTCAAGGCTCCTGGCCAGCATGAGGGAAGAAGGTATCCATGATCTGTGCTCCTGCTGGGCATGAGGCCTCAGTACACCAGCGGCTGGGGAGGGCTGACCATTCGCATTGCTTTTAGGGCTCACTGAACAGCCAAGCCCTTGACAGGCTTCTCCCCCTGGGACTCCCCAGCCACCCAGTGTGATGGGAAGATGGCCATCCCCCACTTTATAGGTGAGGTGTCTGAGGCCCAAAGCCGCAAGGTGAATCGCAGTTCTGCCTGGCCACACCGCACCTCCTCCCCATTCAGTCCTTACCAAATGAAGGAATCAGTGGCAGCTCCGGCAGGCTCCCACCCAGGACGCCGAGACCACGGGTTCAGGTGCTGTGCCCAAGAGGAAAGTGGAGCATCTCCTAGCTCTCTGTCCTCCCCTGTCCACCCCCAGGACCCGAGCTGCTTTCCACCAAGGAGGGAGCTGGGAGGAGAAAATTGAAAAGATGTTGAAATTCTCCAAAATAGCATCTATTCAATTTCCCACAGTACCGGGGGAACCAGCCCCCAATATTTCAACATAGGTTCTTTTCTATTTTCCCTACGTGTCGGCCGGTCTGAGAAATAAAGAGTACAAAAGAGAGAAATTTTACAGCTGGGTCTCCAGGGGTGACATCACCTCAGCAGGTTTCGTGATGCCCCCGAGCTGCAAAACCTGCAAGTTTTTATTAGTGATTTTCAAAGGGGAGGGAGTGTACAAATAGGGTGTGGGTCACAGAGATCATATGCTTCAAAGGCAATAAAATATCACAAGGCACATGGGGGCAGAGCAAGATCACAAGTCCAGGGTGAAATTAGAATTGCTGATGAGGTTTCCTGTCCCACTGTGTACGCATTGTCATTGATAAACATCTTAACAGGAAACAGGGTTCGAGAGCAGACAACTGGTCTGACTAGAATTTCGGTCTGACTAGAATTTCACCAGGCTGGAATTTCCCAATCCTAGCAAGCCGGCGGTGGGGGCACTACAGGAGACCAGGGCATAGTTCATCCCTTATCTACGAAGGCATGAGACAGACACTCCCAGAGCGGCCATTTTAGAGACCTCCCCCCAGGAATGCATTCTTTTCCCACGGCTGTTCCTTGCTAAGAAAAAGAATTCAGGCCGGGCGCGGTGGCTCAAGCCTGTAATCCCAGCACTTTGGGAGGCTGAGACGGGCAGATCACGAGGTCAGGAGATCGAGACCATCCTGGCTAACACTGTGAAACCCCGTCTCTACTAAGAAATACAAAAAACTAGCCGGGCGAGGTGGCGGGCGCCTGTAGTCCCAGCTACTCCGGAGGCTGAGGCAGGAGAATGGCGTGAACCCGGGAGGCGGAGCATGCAGTGAGCTGAGATGCTGGAGCGACAGAGCGAGACTCCGCCTCAAAAAAAAAAAAAAAGAATTCAGCGATATTTCTCCTATTCGCTTTTGCAAGAAGAGAAATATGACTCTGTTCTGCTCGGCCTTGCAGGCAGTCAGTCCTTATGGTTATCTCCCTTGTTCCCTGAAGATCACTCTTACCCTGTTATTTTAGGATGCCCAGATTTCGTATTGTTCAAACACACCTTTTATGATTTGTACAGATAATGCAATCATCACAGGGTCCTGAGGCGACATACATCCTCAGCTTACAAAGATGATGGGATTAAGAGATTAAAGACAGCCATAGGAAATTATAAGAGTATTGACTGGGGAAGTGATAAATGTCCATGAAGCCACGGCTTCAGCCGGTCCCTCCGTTCGGGGCCCCTGACTTCCCGCCACACCACAGCACTTCATTTCCAACAAATGAAATGAAAGCCATGCCAAAATGAATGAAAGGAATGCCACCCCACCCCACAGTCCAGACAGAAGTTTGGCTCAAAGATCTGATCTGCTTTCCCACTGGTTCTGCTCTATGGGAGAGTGCTCTAGACTTTTGAATACATATAGGAAAAAGTGATTCCCCATTAAAGATGTGAACATTTCCAAATAACAAAATCACGTGGCAAAACCGAGCATTTCTGTTGTTTGGGGCCATTCCTGTAAACCACGTCTGTTTGCCCCTTACTGCTCCATTGCTCCACAGCCACCAAACTTCCCAGCCGACTTGAGACACAGGCTAGCTGAGCGCTGTGGCTCCTGCCTGCAGTCCCAGCACTCTGGGAGGCCGAGGCAGGAGGACTGCTTGAGCCCAGGAGTTTGAGACTAGCCTGGGCAACACAGGGAGACCCTGTCTCTACCAAAAACTAAATAAAAATTATCCAGACCCTGTCTCTACCAAAAAACAAAAACTAAAAATTATTGAGGCTGCAGTGAGCCAAGATCATTCCACTGCACTCCAGTCTGGGTGACACAGCAAGACCCTATCTCTAAAAAAATGACACAGGGGGCCCCTGAAAATAATTAGCCATCCCTCAAAGCTGCTGGAATAGGGAAGACTGGGGACAGGGAGCAGCGTGATGCCAAGGACAGACCTCCAAACTGAGGTCACAGGGTGGCCCAAGGCCCTGGTCATCAGGGCAGCTGCCTCTACAGTGGGCGTAATTCCAGGCAGTAGCTGCCGAGCTGAGTGGGCACTCGTAAGCAGAGAAGTGCCTATCTTCTGATCAACCCGGAGATTTGCATCTCTCCGTCCTGCCCAGACAGTCTCTGGCAGGAAGCCCCAAGCCCCAGCCGACACTGTACCACGCTCAGGGAGGAAGAAACTGTGCAGCACAGCCCAACACCATTTTCCCCTTTTGGCTTTCTAGAATAGTCTTGCAGAACTATTTTTTGGTTTTTCTTGAGAGAGAGTCGCACTCTGTTGCCCAGGCTGGAGTGCAGTGGCATCATCTCAGCTCACTGCAACCACTGCCTCCTGGATTCAAGCGATTCTCCTGCCTCAGCCTCCCGAGTAGCTGAGATTACAGGTGTGCACCAAAACACCTGGCTAATTTGTTTTTATTTGTAGTGGTGACAGGGTTTCACCATGTTGGTCAGGCTGGCCTCAAACTCCTTGACCTCAGGTGATCTGCATGCCTTGGCCTCCCAAAGTGCTGGGATTCCGGGCGTGAGCCACCGCCCCGGCCATAGCCTTGCAGAACTACTTTGTCGCTCCACAGAGCTCAGTGCTTTAAGCCACAGCGAAGGTGCCCAGCAGACCTTTGATTATTTCCTATGTAGCATAAAGTTCTGCTCCTCGGGAGTAAATCTGCGAATCAGAGCCTTCCTCAGGAAGACAGCTCTACAGATGACCCAGGGGAACAAGTACAAGCCGTGCATTCCAGCACCCAGGATTTCTTGTTTCATGTCATTTTAAAGAACTCATGGGTTCTGGTATACTGTGGAGTCCTAGGTTTATTCCCAGCCTTGGCCTCAGTTGTCAAGCCGGCTGTTCCTATTCACTTGGGGGATTCAGCCCCTTCCCATTTTACCCACCAACTCCTAATCATCTCCCCTCCTCTACTCAACCATCTTTTTCTGGAAATTCTTCCTGAATAACCTAGTTTAGAGCAGTCCCCTCGTGCTAGTCTCTAAACCTTCCTGTTCTTATCACAATTTTAATCAAAGTATACTCTTGTTTTTTTCCTCCTG